GACTCAACCATCACACATCACACATGTGAGAGGGGGGGAGGGACCGAACATGGAAGAAAAGGTTCCTCCTTGCACACACACATGGGGAGATACCACGGATGAGACGAGGGACGAGGGGAAGACGACGATGGAGATGAGGGAGAAGACCAAGATCGCGATAGCGAAGTCCAAAAATAGTCTCCCTGCCAAATGTCCAATCAATGTCTGCCACAAAAATGTCGAATCAGATCCTGAGCCTCCAAGCTCAATGTAACCTCTGCCTGTAACCTCTCTCTCTCTCTCTCTCTCTCTCTCTCTCTCTCTCTCTCTCTCTCTCTCTCTCTCTCTCTCTTCTCTGAAAGAAGAAGAAGAAGAAGAGGAGATGGAGGGCGAGGACAAGAGAAGATGAAGATTTCGTCCTCCTCGCTGTCTCACCTGCAGGTAACTGCTGTCATATGCTAACGTGCCGGTGTGTCCTCTGTGATGCAGGTCGCTGGCGGGAAGTCCAGCTATGGCACCCAGGTAAGTCCTCCACCGATGTAGGTATGGCCACCGCCTCGCATTCTCCCTGCCTACTACTCTACCTCTAGCGCAGTGCTGTATCGAGCTGCTCCAGCAGCGTGTCGCCCAAGAAGTGAGCTACTCGAACTGTGTGTGTGCGCAGGAGCTGGCCCAGCTATAAGTAGGGCTGGGCCTGGGTGCTGTGCCCACGACCTGCGATCTGCGTTGCGAGATCGTCAGTCCGATCCACGGTCCAGATCGCAGGAAAAAGTCCTGCTCCTGGGCCTGGCCTAAAAACGGCCTGCCTGGGTCCCTACCGGACGTCCAGGCCTCCAGGCCCTCCCTACTGATGCAGCAGGGAAGGTCCGATACCGGACCAAACCGAACCTGGCCCGAAAGGGCCTCGCCAAGAATGGAGAAGGCCCAAAACGTGTCCTTTTGTCCGAACAGACCGAAAGTCTGTTCGGACGCACTGCATATCCGAAACGACGTCTGCAACAGACAAAAATAGAACAGCAAATAAATAAATAAATGCTACCTCAAATGGCCGTGGGCCTCGAGGGCGCATGCCTAAATGGCGTGCGGCCTGGGGTCCCCAGCAACTGTCGGGCCCCAAAACGGGGCCCGCGTGCAGGCTCAGCATCTAACATATAACGTCTGTGGCGTAGGACTTGGCAGTAGGGTTCGTTTCGGGTTTGGGGTCTAGGCTTGTGGTACACATTTTTTATGTAACATTTGCAGACTGGGGCTGGAGGTCCAAAGTTTCGGGCTAAGGTCCGAAGTACTGAGTTTGGGGTCAAGGGTCTCGGGTGTTGGGTTTCAGGTTTGGGTAGTGGGCTTTGAAGTGTCATAGGATTTGGGAATTGGGTTTAGTAGGGTTATAGGATAAAGGTTTTGGGGTCTAGGCTTCAATGTACACAATTTGTGGATGTAACATTTGCAGAAGAGGGTTTTAGCCATAGGGTTCAGGTTGTAGGGTTCGGGGTGTTTTCCGGTGCAGGGTTTGGAGTGAAGTGTGTAAGGGTGAAAAGTGCCGAACTTGACGCATAGGAGTTAGGCGGTAGGGGTTGGGCTGTGTAGGTATCGGACTTGGGGGTTGGAATCGAGGGGTCGAGGTGTGGGGTTTCAGGTGGAGGGTTTGGGGTTTAAAGTTTGAGCTGTAGGATTTGGACTTTCATACTCTACGATTTCAGGTGAAGTGTCGGGGTGAAAACTTCCCGGTGTACGACTTGGCGCATAGGAGTTAGGCTGTAGGGGCAGGACTTGAGAGGTCTGGGTGGGCGTTTTCAGCTGCAGAGTTTGGGGTTTAAAGTTTAGGGTTTGGACTTTCAGACTCTACAATTTCAGGTGAAGTGTCCAGGTGAAAATTTTGGGGTCTACAACTTGGCCCATAGGAGTTTAGCTGTAGGGGTTGGACTCAAGGGGTTGCCATGTGCGCTTTCAGGTGCAGGGATGGGAGTTTAAATAAAGTTTGAGCTGTAGGGTTTCGACTTTCAGACTCTACGATTTAAGCATTTAGGGTTTAGGGTTTAGGGTTCTGGGTTGTGGGTTTCTTGGGTATTTGGAAATTCAGCTCAGGCCTCAGATGGTTAAGCTTATAATAACTGGGAGATATGACGTATCCTCCACACGGCTCATCGTTTGCGCGGTTGGGTTTCCAGAATTGGATCTGGACTGAAGGGGGAGGGTTTTTCTGAAGAGCTTTTACGGGAGGTTTTCTCAGAAAACATTTTTTTTTTTTTTTAACAAGGAGGCTTCTCGGGAATGGCTTTCAGGAAATGCAGAGATGATAATATACTTTCAGTGGGGGGTTTCAGATACCATTTAAATACTTTTGAATGCTTAAGTAAATAGACTTCACATATTATCAACGTCAATCGTCCTGTCAGCATCACACACTCCTCAGAAACAGAGAGTGAAGTAGCCAGTGTATCACCAGACTTAAAAAAAAAAAAAAAAAAAAAAAAAAAAAACAAGCTGCACATGTTGAGCAGAGAGAATGTGATGACATAGAGAGCGAAAAAACATGCCTGGAGTATACATAAGGTGTGTACAGTGAGAGAGAGTGAGAAGGAGAGGGGGAGGGAGTAGCAAGCATGTCGAGGGATATGTGTATGCGTCTGTGATTGTGTTTGCGGGAGAGAGAGAGAGAGAGAGAGAGAGAAAGAGAGGGATGTGTGTGTGTGTGTGTGTGTGTGTGTGTGAGAGAGAGAGAGAGAGGGAGAGCATAACCAGCCAAAGGCAATGGAGGTACTAAATGGTAGCAAAGTGTCAGAGTGAGCAAACACAGTGACCATTTTGTATAAAATCTGCAATTCAGAACCTGCACCATGACTTGTGGGTTGTGGGTGAATAGTAGACACAAGTAACTGACAAACAGATCATGAGTTCAAATCCTGATCGATACAATAATATTAGGCGGCTAACCCTCCGGAAAAAAAAGGGAGGGGGCTCCCCCTCCAGAAAAAAAAAAAAGGGGGGGGGGGGGGGGGGGCCCCCCCAAAAAAAAAAAAAAAAAAAAAAAAAAAAAGGACTCCAAGACAATCACCTGATGCTGAGAATCCCACATAGTAAGCACCTCCACCGCACCTGGTGACATCAACATATATTCTCGTAGGACGATGCCCTCAGAATCGCTGCTCAGAGAAGACTGCATCTCCTCAATCACTGCCAAGAAGCAAAACAGCGAAACGGTAAGCCTCGACTGTCATAAGGTGACATCACCATATATTCTTGTGTATGCTGGTCTCCGCAACATCCTGTCTGCAACATCGTGTCATATGCTCATCCCAGCCAAGAACTGGTTCATGTGCTATAGAACTGCTCCAAGTGCTATGAAGGGTTTGTTGAACTTCGTTCACATGCTATATTACCGATCGAGGTGCTATACAACTGCTCCAGGTGATGATACATAGAACTGGTCCAAGTGATTTACGGAACTGTTCCAGCTGATAAATAAAAACTGGTCCAGGTGCTATTGAATTGGTCCCGCACGTATAGAACTGTTCCAGGTGGCGCATTGCTGGTCCACAAACTATATGCAGCTGATTCAGAATATATAGAACTGTAACTGGTCTAAGTGCTATAGAACTGGCCCAG